GGGGAGACCCAGCGAGGCTCACCCCAGTAACTGGGAGGGAGACCTCAGGGGGGGCAGCGAGCACCTTAGGTAACACTCGCCAGTGTGTGTTGAGCTCTCAGGTGTGCTGGATCCCTGGCCAAGCATTTTACACGTGTTACCTCATTGAACAGCAGGCGCTCCGTCTGCCTTGGAAAGGACATCCCACGTGCTGGACACTGGTCTTAAAGTGATTATCTCTTAGAATCCTCGTGACGGCCCTGTGTGGCTAGTACTATTTTTGTCATTGTCCTCATGACAATAATGAAACTGAGACACAGTCATTTAGTTCCTGGCATTTACAGCTGACCTGGCAGCATCATCGGTACTTTTTGTTGCTGTTGTATGTTTTTACTTTTACTTTTTATTTTTTTAGGTATAATTTGCATACAGTCCAGCATGCAAATCTTAAGTGTACAGCTCCGTGAATTTTTATGGACGTACATGTGCGTGTAGCCGAGGGCATCTAGATCAAGATCCAGCCATTTCCACGGCCCAGGACGTTCCCTCCTGTCTCCTCCCAGTCAGTTCCCCTCCACAGGGCGACCCCTATTCTGCTTTCTCTCCCTAGATTAGCACTGTTTATTAGCACTGAACTATTGACTGTAGTTTTGTGTCTGGCCTCTTTCCTTCAATGTAATATCTTTGAGGTTTACCCACGCGTTGCATGTAGCCGTCATTTGTACTTTCTGTTTTGTTGGCAAGCAGCATTCTGTTGCGTGAAAACATGACAATTTGATTGTCCATTTTCTAGATGATGGCTATTTGGGATGTTTCCAGTTATTTTCTACTGTGAACAGAGCCACTGTGGACATTTGCATACATGTCTTTCTGTGGACGTGTCCACCATGGTCTTTCCTTAGGAGTGGAAATGCTGAGCTCCTAACCACTGCACCGCACTGCCCCGCAAACAGCACAGCAGCCCAGAGAAGCAATGTTATTACCCCACTTCACAGAGCAGGAAACTAAGGCTGAGAGAGGTTCAGTGGCTGATGAGGTGACTTGGCTAGCAAGGGGCTGAGCTGGAACCCAGACCCTGAGCTTGGGGATTTGGCCCAGAGCCAGGTGGCTGATCCAGTGAGTGGCATTTCCACTGGTGTGAGGGGCTTTGACCCATTGCTGGTTTGATTGAGGCCTTGGTGGCTGACCCACTCTTGGAACTTGGTCCTTTCCTGGGGATCAAGTCCTATTGGAAAAGCCGTTTGGTGAGGAAGATTGGCCCTGAGCTAACATCTGTTGCCAATCTTCCTCTTCTTTTTTTTTTTCTCTCCCAAAGCCCCAGTGCATAGTTGTATATCCTAGTTGTAAGTCATTTAGTTCTCCTACCTGGGATGGTGCCACAGCATGGCTTGATGAGCAGTGTGTAGGTCTGCACCCAGGATCCGAACCAGCAAACCCTGGGCTGCTGAAGTGGAGCATGCAAACTTAACCACTCGGCCCCTGGGCCAGCCCCCTGGAAAAGCCTTTTGACATTAACATCTTTGAAGACATGAGGAACAAGAAGGTTCCCTCTCTTTATTTATTGGACTGGAAGTGCTGGCAGCAATGGGCTGAAAGGTGAGGGTAGAAGAGAGCAGGAGGCAGTGAAAGAAAAACCAAATTCCACTCCAGGAAGATGACAGGCTTCATCTCCAGGGGCTCCTGTGGGCTGTGTGGGGCCTCAGGGTCCCTCAGACACAGCTTGGGAAGTCCCCTGCCTGTCTCTCTGGGCCTGGGAGCAGGACCACATCTGCAGTTGATAATGTCTGCCAAGTTCAGGGTTTTCCCCTCTTAGTGTAATTTTAGTGTTTTCATGGAGGCAGAACGGCCAGAAGGCTGTGGAATCCGTCCCCACCCTCTGGCCAAACACAGGAAAATGTACCTCGGATGCAGGAATCAGAGACAGCCTCAAACATCATGAAATAGGTGACCCCATAAAAAAGCAATTGCCAGTTGGCCCCCGGGGCCCTGGCAGCCGCCCCTGACACCTGAATGTCACCATCGTGTGGTCTCTGAGTTTTACACCATTCAGCTTTTTGTGACTCACTTCTGTAACCGCCAGACTGATCTCCCACAGAGGCTCTGTGTTTCTCTTTCCACCAGCAAGGCAGCCTTTTCCCTGCGTTCCTGCCGGGTGCGGGGTCCTCATTAAAATGACACCTCCTTCTTCTCTGACTGTGCGTGTCCCTGACTGTTGAGGTGACCTGTCTCACCATAGGTTTTTTTAGTGGATCTGCTCTCCTGCAGAGGTTCTTATCTGGCGGGGAGTTTGCTCCCCTCCCCTTGGGGACATGTGATGATGTCTGCAGACGTTTTTGGTTGTCACAACTCGTGGTGGGGATGTGCTGCTGACATCTAGTGGGTAGAGGCCAGGGATGCTGTCCCACCGCAAGGAATTCTCAGGCCTGAAGTGTCAGTAGTGCTGAAGCTGGGAAACCCTGCTCCACTGCGACCTGTTGGTAAGATTTTTTGTCCTTTTTAAAAAAAATCAATTTAGAGATGCTCTTGACCTATGATAGGCGTTCACCCTTTATCTGCCATCTGCATTCCAAATATTTCCCCCAAATCTGTCCTCTTTTAGTTTTGTTTATGATATCTTTTGCCACACATACAAAAATTAAGGTAGCTAAATGTGTCTTTCATTTTGTGTGTGTGTGTGTGTGAGGAGGATTGGCCCTGAGCTAACGTCTGTTGCCAATCTTCCACTTTTTTTTTTTTCTCCCCAAAGCCCCAGTACATAGTTGTATATCCTTGTTGTAGATCATTCTGTTTCTTCTGTGTGGGACGCTGCCACAGCATGGCTTGATGAGTGGTGCCATGTCTGCACCCGGGATCCAAACCGGCAAACCCTGGCCTGCCGAAGTGAAGTGTGCGAAATTAACCACTCAGCCACGGGGCCGGCCCCTCATTTTTTCTTATAGCTTCCAAGTTTGTTTCATGGTTGAGGTCTCCCCTACCCTTGTTTAGGGCATGTGGCTTCCTATTTCTACTTCTTTTGAGATTTCTATTGTTCTATTCATTAGGCCTTAATCTATCTGAATTGATTTTTGTGAATGGTGGGAGGTGAGGGTCCATATATATTTTTGTCCAGGTGGAGACCCAGTTGTGGTTTTTACCATATCTTAAATTAACTATCCTTTCCCACTGAATTAAAATCTCACCTCTGTCATGTATTAACTTTCCACACACACACACACACACACACACACACAGAATTCTGGGCTCCCTCGTCGTTTCCAATGATACCTGTCAATCTTAGGTTAATGCGATCAGATGTTGATTACATCATGGCTTTGTACATGATGTACAGCACAGGCCAGTTGTCATCTCTATTTTCTTTTTCCCCTTAAATAATTCTTTGGTTGATTTCAGACATTTATTCTTTCCTTTTATGCATTCTTGGGTCCCACAATAAAGCAAGGGGAGGGTCCCCTTCCTCCCAGGGCGGGCCATGCTGCTCTCCTTTCTGTGTCTGTAGCACAGTGCGCCTTCTCTTAGTGCCGCTGACGAGGACTGTCATTGGCGAGTCCTGGGTTGCTGGGGTCCCTCCCTCCTGCCAGCCTCGCTCTGTGCCATGTCCCCAGCAGTGGCACCTTGTGAGACACATGGCTGTTGCTTGTTAGGATTGGCTGACTGAATGAATGAGTAGATGGCGCACATCTTTCTTTCTTCAGACACGAACACCAGTGTTGTCTTGGGAACAAGGCAGTCAGAGTTTGGGTTAGTCTTTGTCACTGCCATGGTGTGGCCTTGGGCAGTCGCTGCTCCCCTCTGCCTCAGTTTCCCTACCTGTCAGACTGGACCCGATGAGCCCTGAGCTCCTCCACTCTCACACGACTGGGGGTTCTGAGAGGGACGAGGAGCTCTTGGGGAGGAGACGTCCCTCACACAGCGAACCACCGGGCCGGCCCACCACAGTGGGCACAGTGCCGGGGGCCCGACCCTGTGAGGGGCCCAGGAAAATGTTCCAATTCTTTTAAAATTGGAAGAAAAAAATGAACTTTTAGGCAGAAGAAAATGTTTTAATATATAACAGTATCCTCCTCTTTATACCAATGCAGTCATAAAAGATAATTTTTTTAGTGGAGGTAGGGCCCATGAAGGAAGAGTGCTGAGGGCCCAAGCGAGTCAGAACGAGCCTCTGCGGAGGCGACCCTGATGGTGGGCTGAGGATTGGTGTTAGGAGCGTCACAGGCCCAGGCGAATAGAGGTGTCGGGGAATAAAGGAAAGCAGCCACCTGGCTGAGTGTTGCTGGAGACGAGAGCACATGATCCGAGTCTGGGAGTAGGAGACCCCCTTGTCCCCTGGGCCATTCCCCAAGCAAACCCACATCTGAGTTGGCACAACAGAGCAAAGAATACAGCAACCAGACACCCAGGTTGCAAGCCTGGCTGTACCGCATGCACCTGTGTGACCTCAGGTGAGCCTTCACCTCTGGGAGCCTCAGTTTCCTCGTTTGGAAAACAGTAATATTAACACCTTCTTCATAGGACTGTTGGGTCGTTCTTGCAGTCACTCAACACTCTCAAGCACCTACTGTGTTTCAGGCACTGTCCTAGGTGCTGAATGCATACAGCAGTGTGCCCAGCACGCTCAGCCCGGTGCCTGGCACATAGTAGTTCCTCATTAATCATTTGTTGAGTGGATAAGTGGTAAATAGGCCCGGGGGGAGGGGTACCAAAAATAAATAAGTGATTACTTACATAATGTGTAGATAATAGTAAACATAAACACATGATTTTATCAAATGTAAAATGTAATTACAAAGAGAGTAAGGTGCCAGGAAGGAAAAGGACAAGACACAGTGACAGAGAAAGTGTCGGGGCGTGGGGGGCAGGACAGGAGAGCATCTGCTCAGACGGCATGTTCAGAGGGGGCTTCTCCCAGGAGGCGACATTCAAGTGAGGGCTGAGATAGGAGGCTGAGTGATTGACGGGGGAGAGCTCCTGCCCCCCGCCCCCCACCCCGTGCCCGCCCCCCAGCCCGTGTCCTCGCGTTGCAGGCATCCAGCCGGCGCTTTGGAGCAGGGAGGACGTGCTGCACTGGCTGCGCTGGGCCGAGGGCGAGTACGCGCTGCAGCCCACCCGGGAGCACGGGTTCGACATGAACGGCCGCGCCCTCTGCATCCTCACCAAGGATGACTTCCGGCTCCGCGCACCAGGCTCAGGTCAGGGGAACTCCCTGGTTTCCCCCTGGAGCGTTCTGATGGACACCCGGCTAGTCCAAGGGGAGAGGTGGGGCGTCAGTTGGGGAGGATCGTGCTCACCTCCCAGCACTGCAGACGCCCTTCTTTGCACAGATGTTTGCCCGGTGGTTCCCAGCTAGAGCCTGCAGCAAAGGAGTCCACTTGGGGCTTATTTTCAGAGCCCCAGGGGCCTGTCCCACCCTCTCACTTTCCCCTCCCTGTCGCCGCGGCCCTGGTCTCCCCACCCTTTTCCACACTAGGACCTCTCATCTCCATCAGCGCTAAGCTTGAGACGGGACATGCTAGTCCTCCTCCGAGAGGCAGGTGATGGCAGGGTAACATGGCCAGCCCTCCCCGCCGGCCTGGTCAGCAGCCTGCCCTCCCGCCCCCACCCCCAGGTGACGTCCTGTATGAGCTGCTCCAGTACATCAAGACCCAGCGGCGGGCTCTGGTGTGTGGGCCCTTTTTTGGAGGAGACTTCAGGCAGAAGATATCCCCCCAGCACTGCCCTTGCCTCCAGGAAGGTGAGGTGGCTCTGCGCGGAGACCCTCCCCGAAATGGGCCTCACTGGGAGGTGGAGGCGGGGCTTCCTCCAGGCAAAGCAGTGACAGAGGCCGGGTGTGGGCCAGCTCCCCCATCCTCCCTGTCCCGCCTCCTCACCTGACCTCTGCCCTCTGGACCCTCCTGGCGGCCCTTGGTGCTGTGGCCGTCTGAGAAGCTGTGCCTCTCCTCTCGTTTCTTCACTCCTCTCCAGCAAAGAGTTGTGTGGCGACTAGTTTCCTCTCCTCCTCATCTCTCCATGGAGACCCCTCTGCCCAGGGTCTCCAGGGCCCTGAGCATGGGGCTGTCCATGTCCCCTCTCAGTCCTTATCATACACTATGACTTCTCACAGCCTTCGACCCAGGGGCCATCTGCCCCCACAAACTCTGCCCTTGGCTTCCTGGACACGTCACCGGTTGCCCCTTCTCAGTCTCCTGGTTTCTCCTCTTCTCCCCTACTTCTAGATGTTGGGGTGCCCCGGGGCGCAGGGGGCCTCTTCTCTTCTCTGTCTGCACTCGGACCTGGGTAATCTCATTTGGTCTCGGGTGTCAAATACCATCTAGTGCTGATGATTCCGTGTATACCCGGACCTCTCTGAATCCCAGACTTGCTCACCCCACGCTGTCTGCTGCACACCTCCCCTGGGTCTCTAACAGGCATCTGAGCCCTAACAGCTCCTCAGACTAGCCCTGCCCCCTGCCCCCTCACTCCTCTCCAGCCCGGCTCCTCTCCCAGGCGTCCCTGTCTCAGCAAACCCAGCTCCATACTTCCGACTGCTTGGGCCAAAACATTGCATGTCATCTTTGCTTTCTTTCTCTCCCACCCTCATCCCATTGTAAATATATCTTGTTGGCTCTGCCTTCTAAATCTACCCAGAATCCAGCTGCTTCACGCCCCTCCACTGCTGCCGTGGTCCAGCCCCCATCACCTCTGGAGACACCCCTCACTGGTCTTCTTGCTTCCGTTCTTCACCTCCTATGATCTGTTCTCAACAGAGCAGCCAGAGAGCTTCATAAGTCGGGTCTTGCCACTTCTCTGCTCAAAAGCTTCCAGTGGCTCCCATCTTACCCAGAGTCAAAGCAACAGTCCTAACAATAACCTCCCTGCCCTCTGCCATCCTCTCCCACCCCATTCCCCCTTGGTCATGCTGCTCCAGCCACACTGGCCTCCTTGTTCATTGAACAAGCCAGAGACACGCCTGCCTCAGGGCCTTGGCACTTGCTCTTCCCTCTACTTGGCATTCTCTTCTCTAGACACCCACAGAGCTCACTCCTCTACCTCCTCAGGTGTCTATTCAAGTGTTAGCATGTCACTGAGGCCTTCTCTGATCAGTGGGCAACTGTGCCTTTCCCAGGATTCTCTATCTGCCTTATAGTGCTTTCGTTCCCCGCCTCCCCTCCCTGCCCCCACCCCAGCTGCATTGTATACTGTTTCTATTTTTTTTTTAATCCTCTCTCTCCCCCTAGCCCAGCCCCACCCTAACTGGAATATAAGCTCCATGGAGGCAGGGCTTTTTTGAGTTCAGTGATGTGTTCCCAAGATTCTTAGAATGATGCCTGGCTCATGGAAGAATCTCAAAAAATGTTCATTGGGTGGATGGAGAATCAGGGCCCCTGGGCTCTGGGCCTGGCTCTGTCACCCCTGGGCCTTGTGAGAGATTGTACGGATGAGGGAACAGGTTTGAGAGATTAAGATACTTGTGTGGGAACCGGGGTTAGTACCTGGGCTGTCTGGCCCCCACCCGAGGCCTCCACTGCCTCCACTGACCAGGGGCAGGATGGAGAAAGAGCATTAGGGGTGCTCCCCACGGGCTCCCAGGAAGGACGTGGAGGGGGGTCTGGGCTGGGGGTGCTCAGGGACCACAGAATCAATAGTGCTCATCTGCTTACAGAGGGGACCGGGCCTTTTCAGGTGGCCCCCCAAAGGGGCCTCCTGCAGCTGCCACCCGACCTGGGGCTTGCCAGCTCCTTGAGCCACTCAGATGCCCCCGGCCTGGCCAGGTGGCCCCTCAGCAGGGAGGAGTCCCTCACCTTGCCTCACTGTGCGGAGCTCGGCTGCAGGGCTGAGGGGGTCTGCCCCCGCCCCCCGATGCCGCGGGCCCCCATCGACGGCAGGATCGCCGGTGAGTAGGAGGGTGTGTCCCCGGCCTGGAGGGATGTGTGCTGAGGCCGAGTCCCAGAGGTGACAAGGAAGAGGGTTGTTTAGATCTGGGGGGTAAGAGGGTCTGTCCTGGGTGCTGGGGGCGTGGGGTGACCATCCTGTGTTCTGGCCGCAATCTGGATCACCAAGCCCACCCTGTCTCCAGGACACGGACAGTTAGCCAGTCACAGCCAGTCAGATTGACATGGAGTATCCCCCCCTTAAAACTTTATTTGTTTTTAAATAGTTGAGTATTTACTATGTGCCAGGTATGGTTCTAAAGCCTTTATTTAATCCCACAATAGCCCTTTGAGGTTGGTAGTATTGTTATCCCCATTTTACAGGTAAGGAAAATGAGGCACAGAGCGGTTAAGTGACTTCCCCATGACCACACAGCAGTAAGTCGTGGAGTTGGGTTGTGGACCTAGGCGGTCTGGCTACAGAGCCTGAGCTCTAACCAGGTGATACACTCCCACTCCACATTCATTGTTAAAAGATTGACCAACAGACAGGCAGCCAGACAGACTGACAGATAAGCTGCCCGCCTTTCCAAAGGGTGTTTTCTAGTCATGGCGGGGCTCCGACATTTATTCTAAGACAGCACAGAGGGGGCAGAAGCCTGGTTCTGAAATGGCTGGGAACCACTAAAACGCAATGATTTGGTCTTTTTAATAATAATGCTTAACATTCTTAGAGCACTTCCTCTTTCCCAGGCACCGTGCCTTGGTCTCTTGTGTTCCTTAATCCTCACGTCACCCCGTGAGAGGACACTGGCTTGGAAGAGGTTGGGTGACCGGCTGAAATGACCCCGCAGGCAGCCTGGGGTGGGACGTCAGGTCTTGCTCCCAGGCGCCCTCTGCCGCTTGCCTCCACTACGGCACATTTGATTTTCCCTAACCTCCCGTCGGGGGCTCAAGGGGATGGATGTTACGAACTTTATTTAACAGAGATCCAGGGGGCTGAGTGACTGGGCCAGGGGCAGGGACGGACTGGGAGGCTGCGGCCACTGCCTGCCCCACCACCTGCCCGCAGATGAAGGGGCCTTTGGTCTCTGCAGAACTGGGTTAGAACTCCCCCTCTGCCTGCTGCTTAGGAGCTGGGCGACTTAGGACCCGTCTGTGCCCCTCTGAGCTGGCTTCCTCTCCTCTTCCGGGGATAACCTGGGGTTGGGGTGATTGAATGAGATGCTGAGTAATGAGCCCCCGAGTGGCCGTTCCTGTTACCGCTGTCACCTTCACTGTCCTGCCGCACGTCTGGGCCCAGCCTCTGGAGCCCCAGAGCCCCCGTGCTGCCTCACAGCTCCAGGCGAGTGCCCTGTCTGCAGCCCCTGTGCTCGATTACAGACTGCCGGCTGCTGTGGGACTACGTGTACCAGCTGCTCTCTGACACCAGGTACGAGCCCTACATCAGGTGGGAAGACAAGAATGCCAAGATCTTCCGAGTTGTGGATCCAAATGGGCTCGCCAGACTCTGGGGAAACCACAAGGTGAACCTCAGCCAGCAGGCGGGATGGTGTCAACACATCCAGCAGAGGAGAGGGCAGGGGGTCAGAGTGGACCCCTCAGCACTAGGGGACAGTCCTCAACTGACAGAATGTTTCACCAGCAGCCCCAGAAGTGTTGGCATCATTTTATATTGGGAAATCCTGAGGGAAAGGCTGTTGCTTCCTGAGGATGGGGACTGACCCCATAACTCAGGAATCTTGCTTTCTGATCATTCAGTCCCACGTTTGCTCAGCATCTGAGCCTTTCGAAGCTCGTTTGCATGAACTGAGCATCGGATGCTGTGGGGCCATTGAGCCGGATGAGGAAGCTGTTCCCTGGAGGAAGCTGAGACGGAAACCCAGGTCTCAGTCCCCACAGGGGCATCGGGTGTCAGGGCTGGAAGGGCCTGGGGACGACTGAGGCCAGCATTCCCAACATGGGGAACACCCACACCCAAAATGGGTGTCTGCCAGGGGATTTGGGGTGGTTTGCTCCAAATTCTAATAATTAAATATTTATTTTAGTAAGAATTAGAATTTAAAAATTTGACTGCTATGTTAATGTCATGACTTACCGTGGTGATATAAAGCAAGTGTCCTTGTCTATGAATAAATTCATTTAAGTTAAAAAAATGAATCTTTTAAAGAAAACTATCACCAATGTTGATAATCTGCAGTCTGAGCATTTCCTGAGGTGGTACAGCATTTATTGCCCCGCACGCTCCGAGGGCTTCACCTGTATTAACGCATTTAATCCTCGCCACGACCTCGTGAGGCAGGTATTATCAGATGGGGAAACTGAGGCACACAGTGGCTCATCAACCTGTCCAAGAGTTTGCAGCCGGTAGGTGGCAGAGCAGGGACTTGAAACCAGACCCCGTGGCTCTATGCTCTGTTCTATTTGTTGCCTCTCAGCAGTGCTGGTGGCAGATAGGATGACGGAAGTTTGGGCATCCTTATCTGGTCCAATCCCCGTATAGTACAGGGAGGGAAACTGAGGCCCAGAGAGCAGCAGTTCCGTTTAATGAGCACATACGACATGCCCAGCACCATGCTAAGTTCTCTCATGCATTCACTAATTTAATCCTCACAACAAATCTGTGAGACAGATGTTTTTATCCTCATTTTATAGCCGGGAAAACCGCAGAGAGGTAAAGAAACTTATCCAAGGTCACACAGCTGCCAAATGGTGGAGCTGGGGCTTCACTGACACCAAAGCCCAGCCTCATTGCCCCTACTCTGCGCTGCCCACCCCCCGAGAGAGGAAACAATGATTTGGCCAAAGTCACGCGGCTGGTGGCAAGGCCTTCATGCCAGCCGCCACGCTGTCCCTCTGACTAAGCATATAGTTACTTGTTACTCCTTGGGACACTGCCATGTAAAAGCAGCATGTGATTCACCCCCGCCCCGTGGTTCTCAGCTGGGTAGGTGAGAGAACCATTGCGTTATTTCTCCCCTGACTTCCCCCTGCCTTTCTCCTTCCAAACTCAAGAGAACTCTCATCGCCCTCACAGAACCCTGGGCTGTGAAACCATCCAGTCTAACCTGTTCCTTCCAGATGTGGAAACCGAGGCCTGGAAGGAGCAGGGTGGGCATAGGGGGTGATGTGGGGCTGCTTTGCCTTCCAGAACCGGGTGAACATGACCTACGAGAAGATGTCGCGTGCCCTGCGCCACTACTATAAGCTGAACATCATCAAGAAGGAGCCCGGGCAGAAACTCCTGTTCAGGTGAGCAGACTAGGGGCCAAGGTGCGAAGGGGAAGAGGGGCTGCGGTTGAGTGGGCTGGAAGCCCCCTGCAGCTGGAGGGTGGGGGCTGACTTGCTGCTGGGGCCTCAATTGTAGATTTCTGAAGACACCCGGGAAGACCACCCAGGACAAGGGCAGCCGCCTGGAGCAGCTGGAGAGCCAGGAACAGGACAGGCTGGATTTTAAGGAGGAGATTCGGGCAGTCTCTCCATGAGGGGCATGTGGACTCCGGGCACCCGGCACCGATGGGCAGAGCCTGAGTCTCCCATGGAGGCAGCTGGCTGCAGGGTGGCCCCTCCCTCCTCCCAGGGCAAGTGGGCACTCCCAGCTGAGTTTTGCACTCACGGGATCACAGCTGTTGGCTCGGACCTCGAGGCTGCCTGGGGACCCGGGAGGGCCAAGAACTGGGAGGCCCCACATCCGGGACGTTGGTGGGGGGCATCATTCTTCGGATAGGGCAGCCCTGGGGCTAAGCGGGGCACAGGAAATGAACTCTCTCCCTGCCTTGCCCCTTGGTACCTGCCCAGCTTGGGAGAGGAAGTCAGATGCTGAGAGAGCATCCCACCCAACTCCTTCGGTTTACAGAAGAAGGGAGCACTGAGCCTCAGCTTTCCTCATCTGTGAACGGGGCGTGCTCCTGAAAACCCGCCCTCAGGGGGCTGATGCGTGAGATGGAAAAAAGAATTACTGCTTTTCAGCCTCAGTAATAAAAGCAATAATGACTCCTGACACTGAAGGGCTTGCTAGGTGCCAGGCCTTATGCGAAGGGTCCTAACCTAGACTGTCTCTCATTCAGTTCACACACCAGGTTTGAAGACGGGGACGCGGGGCAGGGGCTTGCAGAGCCGGACACCTGTCCAGAGCCCAGTGCTGTCGCCTGTTTTCTTTTGGGGCCTCTGAATGTATTGGGCGCTTCTCAACAGAGGCCAGCGCCCCACCCCTCTGTCCTCAGCATCTTTGCTGAAGAGTTCATTTCCCTTGGCCCAACCCACTTGTCCTCAGTGTTCGGTCCTTTGGTGACTCTGTGACTGTGACCCAGTGAAGCTTGCCCCCACGTGGCTTCCTGTGCTTCTGTACCCGTGTCTGCCATGTGACCTGGGCAGTCGTTCCACCTCTGGAGCCTCAGGTTTCTCATCTGTAAGATGGGGACGCTACTCCTGACCTGACCTCACAGGATTGCCAGGAAATTTCTCTGAGAGGATCTTTGTGAAATGCTCTGTGAGGAGCACTGAATCCGGGTTAGCTAAGACGACGCTGCAAAGCCAAAGCTGCTCTAAGGCATGACAGTGCCTCTGTCCTATGGGTTCAGCTTCTCCTCTCTGCTCCCCAACCCCCAGTACTGGCTGGGGCCTCTGGGCAGGGGTGGGGAGTGGGAGTGGGGGCGGGTGGGGCATGGGGAGCGAGCTTCTTGGATTTGCATCTTCTTTCTTGGAAGGAGGAAACCACCTTGGCCTCTTGCATCCATCCAGCCAGGAAAGCCCCTGTCCTGTGAGCCTGAGCCGGCCCTGAGTCACTCTACAGGAGAAGCTGATAAGGGTCTCGGACTTTGGGACTCAAAGCTGTGACAGCTCATGAGCTGGGAGACTCCTGGCGTAGTCCTGCCTGAGCTCTCGACACTTCCACCCCAGAAGGGGCCAGGCAGGTGGCCTGGGCAAAAAGCGTCGGTAGGAAAACCCTCGGCCCCTTTCTGCTTCCCAGGGACTGTTCCATCCTTGACTTCACTCTAGGATGAACCCATACCCCATATCTTTTCTCATCATCCCCAACCCAGAACTACAGAATTGGACTGGGAGGGACCATCAAAATCAACTTGTCTAGCCTCTCCTTTTGTAGGTAAGGCAACTGAGGCCAGAGAGGGGGAATGACTTGCCCAGGGTCACAAAGCCCAGCTCAGTGTGCTGGCCTCTGATATTGCCATATTTCCTCTCGTCTCATATCTTGCTCGTGGGTCCAAGATGTAGAGGTTTAAACAAGAGGATGGAGTTGTAAGTCACTTCTTTCGGTTATGATGTTGGCGTTTGCCTGCTGGTGTGTTAATGTTGTCAACTGCTGTGTATCCCAGGGACTGTGTCTTCACCCAGGGCAATGAGTCTCACTCAATGCCAGGACCACTGGAGCCAGGAGTGGGCTGTGGGCTTGGGCAGAGTCTGCCGCCCCACGTCCCAGACCCTCGGACTCTCCGCTTGGCCTGGGCTGAGGTTTACTCTTTCCCCACCTCCCCAGGCCCGTTTGGTGCTGGCTGGGCTGGACACCTGGGTGCCGGGAATGAGGGATTCACTCAGCCCTTCTTCCACAAGCATTAGTCAGCACCTGCTGTGTTCCTGGCACCAGGTGAGTCTCTGGGTTTGTATCCATTTTTACACAAGTAGATTCCTGAAAACTGATGGGCCACTGAAAACTACACATGTCAAGGTGAATTTCCTCACAAATAATTTAAAAAAGCAGGAAATATATTCTCATGACTTAAAAAAGTAGCCAGCCATGTCTGTCTGTCTTTTTTTTTTTTTTTTGCCAGGTTACATTAAAGTCAACAGTAAATAATTTATGAAAAAATTGAGTCTATTAAGAAATTCATTAATGAACAAATGATCCAAGTCACTGTTTCCATCCAGTCAAGTCATTTACAACATTAAGCCAGGAGCACGGGCTCTCATCTTCTCCATTAGATGGATTCTTGCCAAGAAAATCTTTTTCCTTCACAAGAATGCTCCAGATCTAGCCCTTTCCCCTGGCTTTATTGACACACGATTGACATATAACATTGTGTAAGTTTAAGGTGCACAACGCATAGCATCTTCTTTAATCCTGGTGGCCCTGCCACATTCGGGCTCTTACTGCAGGAAGCCTGGGCTGATGCTGTGATCCATCCTCTTTCTCTTGCAGGGTCCCAGTGGTGACAACTTTTCTTGGCTTCTTCCTCTGGTCCCTCCCTATGATGTTAATTCACATTTTCTCCTCAAGTGTTCTCTCAACTGTTTTATAGGGACACACAGAAAACATATACTTTTATAGAGCGAGGTCTCCATACTCCCAGCTATCAGGCATCTGGTGGTAAAAGCCAAGATGGTGCTGGCTCTGCCTTGTTGAAGGCTGGTGTCAGGTCCCCTCCTCCATGCTGGCTTGGCCACTCATGTGGGACCTGTGAACTGAGCTGCCACTGGGACAGCCCCAAGATTTGGGTGGGGGAGTTTAAAGTGGGTTGCTCTGAAACCAGAATCTGCATATTTCAAAAATATTTTAGGTATGATCTTAATTTTTTAAATTCCAAGGATCCTTGTAGGTTAACTGCTCAGATGGGGAGCGGCACACAAAGGAGTGCAGGGCCCTGCCCTTGAGAAGTCCACACATCTGTAGGGGAAGCAGAAGCAGCTGATGGGCAGACATTGTCGAAGTCCCCAGGGAGAGGTGCAGTGACAGCATGCCCCCTGGGTCAGCTGGGGACAAACTAGCACTGGTGGATTCTGCTTGGGAGTCACCAGAGGGAGTGTCCCTAAGGAGGATCATATTGGCTTCTGCTGTTTCCCCCCTTCCCTTTTGCAGGGGTGCAGTCTGGAGGCACAGCGGGCTGTGGGCCTTCTGCTCTCGAGGGGTCAGGGACAGTGCGGGCTCCAGGGGAGCCAGGAGTGTGGCTGACTGCAGAGGCCAGTGCCCAAGGGAGGACAAAGGGGTCCCTGAGGTTGGTGCTTGGGACGGCCAGGCTCACTAAGACAGGCAAGGGGCCCAGACCCTCACGAGGGTGAGGAGGGAGCCTTTTGGGAGAGGGAGGGACTGTCTGACCGGCAGAACAGCAGGAGGAAACTCCTAACAGCATCCTCTGCGCACGACCCACTTCTGGGGGCAACTGATGCTGTGAGGAGAAGAACACTATCTGAAGCCGGTCCACGGGGCACCTTCCGTTGTTCACCCAACAGACTTTACGGAGCAGCGTGGTCTCAGGCTCTGCGCAGGGGGCTTCACTCACTTCACAGGAGCCTGGCTGGTCTCTGACGCCCAGGTCTGGGCTTGAGATGGACTGTTGATTGAAACGATGCCCTTTGCTCAGAAATACAGTGAAACCGGAAGGAGAAATGATGAGAGGAGCAGCTGGCCTGGGACGGGGGCTCAGCAGAGGGCAGGCAGCACGGCCCCTCAGGGGCAGCTGAGCTGGGAGCAGAAGTCTGGACTGGGCACCGGAGCCCATCTCAGTGTTTTAGAAGGAAGCTCAGGCGGGCTGTGCTGGTGTGCTGAGCCCTCAAATGGCTTCAGTTTTTGCTCAAATGAAATGATCTTTAGTTTGGCATTTAAAGTGCGGTAATGCTAATGGATCAAGCTCATCCTGGCTTCTACTGGGTGTTACAAAGACCTCTGAACGAATAATAAATGACACAATAAGATAAACATAAATGCTAGTATAACAAATGTAATGAAAATATGCACTTTGGTAGACAAAATCTTTCAGAATCTGATGTCCACGGGGCAAAACCTTACAGAGGTTTTGTTTTGGTGAGGTGGTAGTTTTTGTTTTTGTGCTTTGGTGGTTTCACGGGGGCTCACTGAAGAACTGAGCAGAATCGGGAAATTTTACCCCTGGGCAAAGACAATGCAAGGTCACTGGCGAATACAAAGAGGAGCAGAATGGACAAAGGCGCCTCCTCCTGCCCTTCCCCGGGCGGCTTCCCAGTTTGTCAGCTCAGGAATCTGGAGTAAAGTTTGGGAGGGATGCGGCCCCTTCCATCCCAGCGACAGGCCTCGGCAACCCCTCGGCCCGTCATAAATCCTCCCTGTAACAGTGGCCTCTCTGAAGCCTGCGGGTGGCCGGCCCAGCGCAGGGGCCTGGCTGAGCTCTCGCAAACTGAGGCGCGTCCTGTGAAACGGTTACAGCCTCTATTCTGGCTTCACTGCCCAGGATTCCGGGGACGCGCGGCTGAGCGCTTCTCTCCACGGAGAGGCCTGCAGTTTAAAGCCGTGTCCACCAGGTGGCGCAAAAGCCCCTTCGTGTTGGTGTTGGGGACGGGCGGCGGCCGACAGGGCCTGTTCTGCGACGCAGCACGCCTGCCTTCTCCCGCTAGGATGTCAGTACAGCTCTCCAACTCAGGCACACTCCGTAAGTAGACACCCAGCCACTACTTGGACACCTCCAGGGATGGAGAGCTCACCACCTCTGGGGGCAGAGTAAGCAGTAGGAAAGGCAGTAGAGTTGAGGGTACCAAAAAGCCACCTGCCTAGTGATAATGTCACCCTTCCTCTCCCAACCTGCAGGCCACCGGTTTCTGAAATTCCTATGTTCCCAACCTTTTTCTTGGGAAGAACTTACTATCTCTTTTTCTTATCACCTTATCCCTGACTGGTTTATCAAATTTCTGAGCAGAGGCCTGGAAGAGACCTTTCACAGGTCTGGGACACAGGCCAGGGTGTGTCAATAGCCTCTCTACACACCGCCCCCCCCCCCCCCCCACCCCCTGATTAGGAACCAAAAGGACTGAAGCTCCTGCAGTTCCCAGTGGCTTTAGCAGAGCCTGTCTTCTGGGCCTGTTTCCACATCTGTAAATTGAATAACAGCATCCTCTGCCCTGTTTGCCACATTAAGTTGTTGACAAACTTCAAATGAAATAATGTATTCATTTGTTTAACAAATATTTATTGAGTGCCTACTGTATGCCAGGCACTGTTCTAGACACTGGGGAGTACAGCGTAGCCAAGACAGATAGGTAAGCAACAAATACAGCACATGATGTCCAGCAGTGATAAGCGCCATGA